TTCCCCAAACCCCAAAACCCCAAAACCCCAAAACCCCTTAAGTGATGATTTTGAAAATTTATGAAATTAAAAATCTTTTCTTATTCAAATTAGAAATCAGCATAGGCTTATCAATTTTAAATGTCCATAAGTTTATTAAGCGATAGACTTTTGAGGTTGTTTTGCTTTTCTAAAAATTCAGTCGGAATCATATTGAGCATTCCCTTGCTTCTGAATATCTCAGACTGTATGTTTCTTAAAAATATTCGCCAGACCACAGTCAAGATCAGGAAAGTAAATATTATGAAAAATCCGAATTTCAATTCAACAAATAGCCAAATCTTTGAGTAGTACTAATCAACAGACTTCCTCACATTATCAAGCAAGCCTATAAAGCTGGCATAAAGATAAGTGTTGGATAAGAAAGAGAACTCTAACAGGAAGGGATTGTTTAGCAATTTCAAAAGCATTTGATTTGTAACATTTGTAGAGTATTTAGCTACTTTTATCTATTCAAAATTGATATGAAGTTGCTGGAATTAATAGAGTATCATATTTATTGTGTGCTTCATTCCAAGTTTTAAGGTACCATCTCCGATATATCTACATTAGGTCCTTGAAAACTGATCTTCTAAATATTCTTAAATAGTATCACATAAAGGCTCTCTTTCAATCAGATCAATGTAGTTTGAAGCAATACCAGATAGCAACCCAGTGCTATTTTATCTTTTGAACTTTTCTTTTAGTTATTGTACATTCTGAATATTAGTAACATAGCTAGAAATATAACTTGTTGTCTATCCATTATTTTCATAGGTTAGTACTGTGTTTTGCATTAATTCTTGAACAAAATAAAGAAATACATATTGTAAGCTATGCTTTTCAGAGTAAAGCTCATACTAATAGTCTATTCCTTCCTAGATATCATCAATATAATTCCTGTTGACTGCAAATGATGTGGCAAAGTAAGAAATGAATATCATTATCACGAATAAAGTTATCATGTTAATCTTGCTATTTTAGACCTTGATATCCTTGAACATTTTGTTCTTATCTATGCCTGAAAGGGAACTACTTCTCCTCATTTGATCAATCTCTTTCTCTTTCACTTCATCTTAAATCTACTTATTACTTTTATTGAGATTTAATTAACTGTTTAAGGAATTATTAAAGTCCTTAAAGTTCCTGAACTGTTGAGACTCATTCAATTATTCTTATTATTTAGACTATTGATGATAGATAATTCTTGGTTAGATATCATTTTGTTTAAATGTAGATTGCCTTCTCAAAGTTTACTTCCGTTTTATCCCAATTTACGGAACGTCGAATTCTCCTTCATCTATGTCGAATAGATGTCTTTTGCTTGATCTTTCTGAACTAACTGACAGATCAACACTCTACTCATCCTCCTTCTTTTCCTCCTATTAAAGCATTTTTTGTTATTCTTCAAACTCAATGATCCTCTTTGCATAGAGCGCTTCCTCAGTTGATTCAGATTAATCATCCAATTTTGATTCAATTTTAGCCATAAAGTATAAGCACTTTCGAAAAGATTTTTCAATTTCATAGAATGGTAAATCAAAGTAGATACTAAGAATCATTACTTTATTTTTCTGGACTCCTATCACAATCGGAAATACTACGAATCCACTAAGAATAACAAAGACAGCACAGAATACGAATTCTATTGCAATCACAATTAAATGCTTATCTAAAACTTCTTTGAAGCCTTTATAGAAATCTTCATTTTAAAGGTTATTAATATCAGCTAATCTTTTAATGGTATTTTATATGATAAAGAACACATCCTTTTAAGTCTAATTCCTTTCTCTTACTTTCTCTTCTGAACCAATCTTGAATATTTCTGGAGTAAAACAATATTTGCTCACATCCGCATCATAAGGCTGTATCTTTGAGATAAATTAAGAGATCACATATCTCATGCTTTTGAGTTCTTCATTTCGAGAAGAATCTTAAAATAAGTTCTCAATACTAAACTCAATATTCTCATCAAAATGGCCCATTTCGAAGAACATAAATCTATATGAATTACCCTACATAATGTTCTCAATATCATCTAATTCTTCATAATCTCTCATTATTAGCTACTAAAAGTAGTTAAGCCTATTAGTATAATTCTTATACTGATTATCTTGTATTTTCAAATTAATTAGTGCTGCATTGATTACATTACTAGTTATCTGAGATACCTAATTTTATTTCTTGAATAATCTTTACAAATTGATCTAATTCTCCTCAGCGTATTGATAGAACTATAGATTCCAGTACAAATCAAATGATTAAATTATCACTATTAGAATAACAAAAGCAATAACTAGCCAATTAAGTTGATTTATAGACTTTGGCATCTATTTGTTTGAGATCGACTTTTTGAAAGTTTATAGATACTTTGAACTCTAATTAATTTCTATAATTTTTATTGTCGACTGAATAGATTCTTCGCTAAAATCCATATGATTGGGATTGCTTCCGTGATTTCTCACATCATCATCTTCTTCTATTGAATCCTCTTTAGCATCATGGTTGATAAGATTTTATTAGCTAATTGTAGATTCTTCTTAATCAGTATCAGATATTTCATTAATTTCATCGACTTTTAATTGTATCATATCAAGTACATTTTAAGATCTGATTATTCTTGAGACCTTTAACACCTTAAAAATTTTTAGTACAATCTATCCATCAGCGAATTTCATTTCGTTGGCTTGCAAATTTATGTTATATGAACCACTTATTGTTTTCAGCACTTCTTGCTCATCTCTACTAAGCAGTTCTTTAGAAATTGTTTCCATAATATGATTAGTATCTAAACAGCAATACTACCCATCTTTCTTATGTTCTAATTTTGAAAGGAAGAATGGATTTTTTATGTTTTTTATGATTTTATCCATTTTGATTTATTACTCTGGGTCTCCAAATCTGTTGAAAAAAAATTATGGACTAAAGCCAAATGTTTCCCAGCAATTTCGAGAAAATCCATGAATCTACCCTTCAGGATCAGTTACAATAAGATGATATTCTTGGCCAGCGAAAATTGAAGGTGGCTGCATAAATGGATCATTTTCATCTACCTTTTTTAAGAACCCAACAAAAGTCAAGTTTCTTTGCAGATTTGGGATCGCTTTTACCAGAATATGAACTGGTATAATAAAGCCTTACTTATCCTTTGCAATTACAATCCTTTTTACCTCTATTATCTTTGCTTTAGCTGTCTCAAAATAATTCTGAATGAATGAGTCATGATTATCTGATAAGATCTTTGGCATTAAAATTCTAACATTTTTACCTTTTATTTCTTTATTTTTATACCCTAAAAGTTCCTTAGTCTCAAAATTCGCATTTACTATATTACCTATGTCTTTAGGTGTTACAGTCATAGTAATAAGTACTGTTTTGGTATTGTATCCGAAGAATTTATTTTCATCTGCCTCATTATTGCTCTATTCTTGAACTCTGTTTTGGAGATTTGATTAATTAGACATAAACGATTTTACTTTAGAATTAATTTCAGAGGCCTCTTCTTCATTATTCATGACATCTGATAGGAAATAAGCATAGATTTTCAGCAACATCATGTGATTTGGGTACATATCTATCATATTTTTAGCAAGATCTGAAACATTTGTATAGGTATTTGCTATTTACACGCCAAAGTCATGAATTCTGTTAACATCACAGCTAGTTTTATTTTCCATTAGCTCCTTCCAAAAATTTAAGCAGTTATTTGCAGTGTCAATGATTAACTTCTCAAATTTAAGGAACATCGACTCAAAGTCTGATACTTTGATAATATCAATCCCATGCTTATTGTTCTTTAGTGACTAGTACTTATTGAACATAATAATCTCAATGTTTTACTTCATTTAGTGAAGGAAAAATTACCATTCAAAAGGAGGCTTTTCTTGCATGATTTTTATAACTAGAAAATACGCCTTGAATTCATTGTTTAAGTCTTCATTAAGAGTATCCATTTGAATGAACTTCAGCCTGTAATATTGTGGAAACCTTTGAACTATTTTAGAAAGCATATTGTAATAGAGAACGAAGAGCATATTTTAAAACTTGTGCTCAAATAATTTAGCTTATTTAGGATCACTCTTGTTGATAAGTTCAACATCGTCATTTAAGAGCTCCTCAGCAATTATAGTATCTTTATCAATGGATTTCAAGTGTGACTCATCGATCATTCTTAAGTTGAACTGCATGAGCAATTTATCATCAAATTAATTAAGGTATTGTTAGAGCCTATTCGATGAGATTAAATTATACAGTAACTCACACATGCATTTTTAATCATCGCAGTCAATCTAATGAGACTTTATTAATCCGAATAAAATTGTCTTATCGATTGTCTTATGGTCAATTTGCTTGAAGTATTTTCTCAGCTGAAGGAAATACTATTCATACTCCTCTGGTGTTTCAAGCATAGAGTATCTAACTAAATGGCAAGAGCTATCCTTTCGTAAAAAGTAAACTACTGATAAACCAACAAACAGTAAAGTCGAAGCCATAATATATAAAAAGCAACCTACTGAAAACTCAATTAATATACAACTAATGATAAGTGTAATCATGGATAGCCATAGAATGGCTGATTCTTGAATAATTGTGGCAATGTAGACCTTTCTATTTGAAAAATAAAAGTATTTATTCCTCTAGTGAAGTACCATCAATGATAATATCATCATAGCAATCTAAAAGATTAATAGAATCCAATTGCTGTAAATATCCGCATTTACTGAAAGGACGATTAGAATTTTCTGTAAAGTTTTGATGAATTCCGCCCTGTTTAGGGAGCATCCCCAGGCTAATGAGGAGATAGCTCTTCCATCCATAAGCATCAGTGAGTAAGGCAGGATTAACCCAATGACCATACCCAAGAATGAAAAAGAGATGATGCTAACAAAAATGTGTGACATATTCCAGCACTCGAACGTATAATAGTAGTTTACAAAAGCAAAGGATTAATTGGCATATTCAAGACTATCACTAGAAACACATACAATAAAAGAGCATAAAATGACAAATATCGGAACAAATGCTATTTTCATCAACAGGAGTTACACAAGTGCAAATATTTTAATCATGTTCTTTTGGAATGATTTCACCCCTAATATCTCATGTCCTTTTTTTGAATATGCTTGTAGTGAAATTATAAAAAGGAAAGCAAAGTTCAGAATTAATCCAGTTAATATAATACTAAGACATACGTAGCTCTCATTTTCATTTGTATTATTTAGGAGTACCTATTTAATGTTGAAATAGCCCAAGTAAGTACCGATCATGAAATGATCACCCAAAGCCTATTTTTCTAATGAAGGTCTAGTTATGTTGTACCGCCCAATTTCAAATTTGTAAAAGAAAAAGGAGCAGAAAATCAAAAATTCTCCGATTAGAATAATCGAATATATTGATCCGCTGACTGGCATAAAATAAATTAGCTAGTTCACAACTTTAAAAAATTCCTGTTTTAGTTTTTCTTTGTTCCATTTCTTCTTTTTAGGTTCAATTACAGAATGAGGTGACTTTAGGTTTGAAAAATTCATGGAGGCAAGTTGATTAACTGTTTTATTCATATTATTCTCTTGATTTTGCGGCTCTTTCTTTGATTGAAGTTTATTATTTTTCATCTTATTAATAAATTGATTTTTTTATCCTTCATTTGATAATTATTTAATTTCAAATCGTAAAAATAATGAAATTTTAATCTTTTAATTATTATTTACTTCTCTTTAAATCCAGGCCATTTTCTTTACCTGGGGTTTTGGGGTTTTGGGGTTTTGGGG